TGAGCGGAGCTTCCCGAGTCACTGGGAAGTGGACGGGAGCAGCCCCCATTCTCACTGGAAAGCGGACGGGAGCAGCCCCCATTTGTGCCCCTTCCGTGCCGGTCCCCGGTCCCCGCAGGCTCTGCCTGGCACCACCGCTCCCACCGGCTCTGCGGCCGCGGCGGAGCCTCGCGGCACCATCCAGCACCACGGGCCGGATTTGGGGGCGGCAGCACTGGGATGTCTCCCTTTGGGAGGCCCTCCCTGCTCGTTAGCCGGCTGCAGGGCACGTGGTGCGGGGCCCACACACAGCCCTGCTGGACCCTCGTCCTCCTCCCTGCAGCGCTTCCACCTGCCCCCTTCGCCAAGGTCTCGTTCCCGCTCTGCAGCCCTCGCCAGGCAGCAGCTGTTGCCAGAGAGGTTTTGAAGAGGTGATGGCAAAAACGCATTCATATAAATGCGCCACGGGGCCTACACAGCTCCCCTGTCCCTCTCCAGCCTTGCCCTCGACCTCGAGCTGAACAGGGAGGCTCCCTGGGTCCCCGCGGGCAGCACGTGAAGCTGGACCAGGACACGTGGGGTGTGATGAGCGCGGCGGTGCTTTGCAGCCCCGGTTTTTCCTGCTCTCTCAGGCCCTGGCGCTTGCACGTCGCTCTGTGCTGCGGCCGTTCTGGTGGCAGGGAGCAGGAAGGGAACTCGGGGTGACTTGCTGCCCCCCTGGCCCCCGTTGCACGTTAGGCTCTGTAGCAGGGTTGGGGCTCTGGGAACCGCAGCGCGAGGGCTGCTCTCGGAATCACCCCACAGGAGCTCGGGGCTACGGGTGCCTCCCTCCTGCCAGCAACACGGCCTTCCCCTTCCCTCGCAGCAAATGCATCCATTTATTTTGCCAATGGGCGTCCAGGGAACAACTCAGGTCAGTCTCCGTGGAGAGGGGAGGGATTCGAGCAGCTGCTGAGCCTGAGAGCAGGGATGAGCTGAGGCGGCAGCAGCCAGGACGCGGGCTGGGCTACCCCGCAGTGGAATCTGGAGTCAAAATAGACCAACTGCAGGAGTAACATTTCCGCTTCCCTCTCCCACTCTCCACCCCCAAAAAAGCCGCTTTCAAACGCTGCCTGGAATTCCAAAAATCCTCCCCGGCACCCTGCAAGGAGAAGATCATTGTAGCAAGAGCCTCTAGATGGCAACACTGACCCGAGCAGCGGCAAGTTGGAGCAAAGTCCCTGCCGAAGCCGAGCAGCCCGTCCCAGATCCGGAGCCAGACGCTGCCAGCAGCTCCGCACCCAGATCCAGGGACGTCACTCGACGGCCCTTGGGCACCTCTCCGAGGTGGGTTGCAGGCTCTCGCGCTGGGGCTGAGCTCTTCCCAGGCCTCCCAACCAGTCAGCTCTTCAAGACGCCTCCAAACGCACGTGCACATACCCTGCGCCGCTGCCATTTGCAGCACTTTTTGCTGAGGATCACGAAGGACCTGGTTAATCACCCTGGCTTTAGTTGAAAACTACCCAATCCGAGGCAGGAATTGAGGATTCCTGACTCCTCATCCTTTTGTCACATCTGTGCTTGGGCATGGACCAGTGAATACCCAGCAAATCCAGGTGGATGCTGTTCAAAAGGCTTCAAAGGCTGCAGGGAACCGTGTTTCCATCACCCGGCCTCAACCGCTTGGATAACCTGGGAATGGAGGTGGGATGTGCCTTCCCGCAGGGAAACCATGTGTCCACGGGAGACTTTTTGGGCGGAAAAGTCTCTTCCTTGCGTGAGACACTTGGTGTGAAGTAGAGCCTGTTCTTCTCATTTGCCAGGTGGCTTTCGCTTGTGCTCAGGGAGCTGCAAAGCTTAATTAAGATCCTTAAAAGGACAAAAGGTGCCGCATAAATTCGGGGGATTATTACAAATGTCACTGCTTTACAAGCTCTGGCAGAAAGCACATAGGGAATAACACGACCTCTCGCTTCATAGCACTGCCTGGCAGGGCTCTCATAGCCTCGTGCTTCAAAATAGCAGCCATAAAATGTTGACATTTATAATTAGATGTGCATAATAATCTCTTTATTCCCGGCCTGAAAGGACTGGGTGTGTCGGCAAACGTCAGTTCCTCCTCCTCGCTGAGGATCCCCCGTATCGGCTTTGCTTGATAAACCCTCATTCAGTGACACGTCCCAGGGCCTGGGTCCAAGAGGTGCCGGATATTTGCAGCGCGCCGCGAGCCGGGCACGTCGTGAATGAAATCAAAGCCCGTGTGTGTTTTTAATCTGCTTAGTCGATGCTAATCCCGCAGTATCATGCAGCAAAAGCCGGGCGGCTTCATTAGGCCTCTTGTTTTAGGGAACGGGGCTCCCGCGGGAGCCCTCGGCGCTGCCGTCTCCGTCAGGGGCTGGGAGGGCACG